GATGACTTTTTTCAGCTAGTTGCTTTCTCATTCTGGTCTTGACTTGGCATTAACACAGTTTAAAGGAAATTGATAAATTTCAGGTGTCAAGGGCTAAACCACAAACTTGAAAAATAGTATCTTGAGGAAAATATTTTCCTGACAGCAAATGTCTCTTCATCGCTTTGCCTTTTATTCTTTTGTCCCCTTTTGATTTGCTGATTTGAGTGGAGCACTTGTGATTGTTGTGCGTCTAATTGGCTTCAGAAATGACCTATGCCTGGGGAGTGGCAAGGTTATGCACATGCCTCCCATCTCCAGCTTCTGGCTTCTGCATTGAGTCTTAACTGCTCAAATGCCCTTTAGTTCCTTCAGTGTTTGTCTTAATCAGTTTTTTTTAAGCAGCTTTATAATCACAGCAGGATTAAGCTGAAGGTACACAGAGTTCCCATATAACCCCTTCCCCCACATACGCATAGCTTCCCCCTCTGTCCACATCCCAACCAGAGTGGCATGTTTGTTACAACTGATATTGTTATCACCCAAAGTCCATCGTTTATACTAGGGGCCACTCCTGGTGGTGCACATTTTATGGCTTTTGACAAATGTATAAAGACCTGGATCTGGCAGGGCGTGGTGGCTCATGCCTACAATCCCAGCATCTGAGGAGGCTGAGGTGGGCAAATCACTTGAGTTCGAGAACAGCCTGGGCAACATGGCAAAACCCCAACTCTACATAAAAATACAAAAATTAACCAGGCATGGTAGTATGCACCTGTAGTCTCAGCTGCTTGGGAGGCTGAGATGGGAGGATCGCTTGAACCTAGGTGGTCAAGGCTGCAATGAGCTGTGATCACGCCACCACGCTCCAGCCTGGATGACAGGAAAATCCTGTCAAAAAAAAAAAAGACGTGGACCGGTCATTATCATCCAGAGTAATTTCACTGCCCCAGAGATCTGTGTTCCACTGTGCTTCTCCTTCCCTCGAGTCCCTCACAACTACTGAGCCTTTTACTGTATCCAAAGTTTTGCCTTTTCCAAAATGTCGTAAAGTTGAGATTATGTAGTAGGTAGCCTTTTTAGATTGGCGGCTTTCACGTAATGTGCATTTAAGGTTCAACCATGTCTTTTCATGACTTGATAGCTTGTTTCTTTCTAGTGATAAATAAATCCACTGTCTGGATGTTCCACAGTTAATCCATTCACCTGCTGAAGAACATCTTGGTTGCTTTCAAGGTTTGGCAGTTATGGATAAAGCTGCTGTAAACATCCCTGTGCAGGTTTTTGTGTGGACATGAGGTCTCAACTCCTTTGGGTAAGTACAGGGAGCACAACTGGTGAATTGTATGGTAAGAGTATGTCTAGTTTTGTAAGAAACTGCCAAACTGTCTGGATCACTGAAGTCAAGATTTTGAGACCAGCCTGGCCAACATGGTGAAATCCTGTCCCTACCGAAACTACAAAAATGAGCCGGGCATGGTGGCTCACACCTGCAGTCCCAGCTACTCGGGAGGCTGAGATGGGAGGATCGCTTGAACCCAGGAGGGAGAGTTTGTAGTGAGCTGAGATTGCGCCACTGCATTCCTAGCCTGAGTGACAGAGTGAGATTCTGTCCCCCGCAAAAAAAATTGCCAAACAGTTTCCAGAATGTCTGTACCATTTTGTATTCCCACCAGCAATTAACTAGAGTTCCTGATGCTCCACATCCTTGCCAGCGTTTGGTGCTGTCCGTGTTCTGGATTTGAGCTATTCTAATGTGTGTGTAAGTGGCCTTTTTTTTTTTTAAGTAACTTTTAAAGTTTTTACATTGTGATTTAAAACACAAAATTTACCATCATAACAGTTATGGTACAGTTCAGTGGTGTTAAGTGTGTTCACATTGTTATGCAGCTGATCCCCAGAATTTTTCATTTTATAAAACTGAAACTCTTTACTCATTAAACTTACCCCTGCAGGCCAGCCTGCTCCTGAAGCTTTCCTTCTTTTATTCTTTTGTTATTTTATTCTTTTTTTTTTTTTTTTGAGACAGTTTCACTCTTGTTGCCCAAGCTGGAGTGCAATGGCACCATCTCCACTCACCGCAAACTCCGCCTCCCGGGTTCAAGCAATTCTCCTGCCTCAGCCTCCCAAGGAACTGGGATTACAGGCACGCACCACCATGCCCAGATAATTTTGTATTTTTAGTAGAGGTGGGATTTCTCCATGTTGGTCAGGCTGGTCTTGAACTCCCTACCCCAGGTGATCGGCCCGGCTTGGCCTCCCAAAGTGCTGAGGTTACAGGAGTGAGCCACTGCGCCGGACCCCTCCATTTCTTTTCATAGAGTACAGGCAGCCCTCAATACCACAGGCTCCACGTCCACAAATTCAACCACACATAGAAGATATTTGGGGGAAAAAAAGCATAACAACTAAAAATACAAATAAGAGCAGTACGGTATAGCAACTATTTACACAGCATTTACACTGTATTAGGTATTATAAATCTAGAAATGATTTAAAGTATACGGGAGCATATGCATAGGTATACTCTGCCATTTTACGTAAGGAACCTGAGCGTCCTTGGATTTTGGTATTTACCTGGCACCAGTCCCCTCCAGGATACCCAGAGAAAACTATTCCACTGCCTGCAGTCCCACCCCCTTGTACCTGTGGAAATGCAGGCGCCCTGCTGCTCTGAGGACAAGCTCTGCCACTCAGCACTCTTGAGTCACACCCAATAGAAACCTGTCCTATGGGAAGAGCTGGGAATTGGAGGGTCCCTCCCAATGGCATTGCTGTGCCTGGCAGGGGGAAGGGCAAGAACAGGCAAAATGCTCCAACTTCCCTTCCCAGTGCAGTCCCTTCCTGGCTCTGTGCCAGCTGGCATTGCAGCTTCCTAACTAGTTTCTGGAATTCTCATAATGATGTTTTGGTTCCTTTAGCATTGTTAGCTGGGGACTCTAGGAGAACGAGAGCCCAGAGCTTCCTAGTCCACTGCTTGCTGACGTATTTTCACACCATGTCACTTGGCAATGTCCAGAGGGCCTACCAGGGCACAGTGCATTTTTCACCATAACACAAGCAGTCCCAGTATTCAGGGATGGCAGTTTGGTTGTGTTTCCTAAAGATAAAAAATCCCAGAAACTTCTATGCTGACCATTAATAGAATGTGATGTCCAAACAGTCTAGAGCAGTAGTAGCTCAGCACACACCTTGGATGTGGACTCTGACACCGCTCTGTGACTTGCACCTCGTTATGTGGTCTCTGAGCCTCAGTCTCTGTGCTTTCAGGACCATAAAACCACCTCCTTAGGGGGCTGTGGGAGGATTAATGAGTTGGAGCACACAGTCTGACCAGCAGTTTCTGGCACATAAGTGCCTGATCAATGGAAGCCACAGGTGCACAATGATTGGAAACGGCCATAGGCATCATTATTGAAGGTTTTTCTCATGCTGCCATATCTTGAATTACAGTCCTCTGGCAGGTAAGGAGGGTATTCGGGGGGGCACTGCTCACATGGCAGGCATGCCTGTCCCTGCCAATCATACCCACATCATGATGACTGCTTCGGGAGGGCCTGACACCTCAAAAGGCCAAGAGTGCATACAGGTAATGTATAAAGGGGCCACCATGTGACAAGCACCCAGACCATCCTGCCAGCCCTGCGCCTTGATTCTCTCTCAGTCAGTCCCAGGTAGAAGGGTGCTGCCGCATAGGACAGGAACACTTACTCAGCTGAGCCAGTTTGGGAGGCCACAATTCAGATCTGAGAATTCCCCAGATGGACATGGGTCTTGCTCTCCTGGTCAGTTGAATGGCCTCAAAACTGTTGGGCCAGATGGCTTATGCCTCTAATCTCAACACTTGGGGAGGCCAAGGTAAAAGAATCACTTGAAGCCAGTTCAAGACCAGCATGGGCTGCCGGGCGCGGTGGCTCAAGCATGTAATCCCAGCACTTTGGGAGGCCGAGGCGGGTGGATCACAAGGTCAAGAGATCGAGACCATCCTGGTCAACATGGTGAAACCCCGTCTCTACTAAAACTACAAAAAATTAGCTGGGCATGGTGGTGCGTGCCTGTAATCCCAGCTACTCAGGAGGCTGAGGCAGGAGAATTGCCTGAACCCAGGAGGCGGAGGTTGCGGTGAGCCGAGATCGCGCCATTGCACTCCAGCCTGGGTAACATGAGTGAAACTCCGTCTCAAAAAAAAAAAAAAAA